CAGAATTATGTGTACAGACTGGTACAAAATCTCTATTACAACAAGGTAAAAATTAGACAAACTCCCACAAACATTGTTTTAATAAAAAACAAACGCCCTGAAATAGGATATTAGCATGGTTTTTGTCTACGCTCTGCAAGAAAATATGAACGTGAGGCTTGCTTGTAATTGACCATTCCTATGTTTCATATTGTAAATATATTTTCTTTTTTGTATCAACGTCATCATTATTATCGTCAGTCTGTTTTTTCTATACCCTTTGGCGGGTTCCGAAAGGTCGTTGCCCATCCGATCCACGAGCTTTAAATTTTGTAACCCTTATTCCCAAGGTAGAATTTTATTACGATATAACATCAGACAATCTGTATTTAACCAAATCAATGATTTAATTTCATCAGGGAGAAAATGAATGCCAAAATACACTAAATAAAAAAAACACTGTTTATTTCATCATTCATTCTTGCTATTATATATAATGCAGAGTTAAACCAACTTTATTCTAACTTTAATTTATTAACCACTTTTCAATGTAGATGGAGCATATTATCAAATATCCATTATCCTCATGGTCAATTTGAATGATACATCTCTTGTTGTATGAAGAGTTCCATTTCGCATAAAGTTTCACCCAAGTTCTTCAAGTTCCTCTTCTTTCATTTTATTTTATCACAGAATTTGACACAGAACGGAAGCACGTGATAAATATATCAATTCATGCAAGTAAAAAGAGCAAAGAACTATTCATTATGATCATTAACATGAATTATGAATAGAACTGACTTTTTTCAGAAAACTGAATTTGTAGAACACTCATTTACAAACACATTTAAGCTTGAGCTTCAGAAAGACAACGAATCGATCGTAAAATCTATGGAATGTAATCTGATTGATGATACTTTCAAACACTCGAAACACTATTCAGCATTCAACATAGTCTATAAAATGTGGAGTTATGTCTTTTTACTCAGTATGTGTTTATTCTTCGAGCCCGCGTTTTACGACATTGTGCTACAGTCAATCATATGTCGTAAACGGCACATGGCATATATGTCTTGAAACTGACGGCTTTCTTTCCATTAAGAAATGATTGAAATATTCGCAATCGGATAAACCGGAGTGCATGCTGGTTATGAAATCATTATCATCACAGTTCATGGTCTCTCTCACTATTCACTAAACGATACTATCAAAACGATCGGAAGTATAAATTGTCCAGTACACTAAATTAAAAATTCCAAAACAAATCGGAAACAGAAAGCGACAGGCTACATCCAAATACATGGCGTGCAACAATCCGGAAAGTTCTCGATGTTTCTGGACAAGAGTTGGGTCCATTTCAGGATCTAGTCGCATCAGTCCCTTGTCATCGACTAAAACCTGAAGTGAAAAGTAAATATTTTACCTTACATCTTTAAGAACAGAAGAGCTGCTTAAACATTACTTCTAATCTAAATAAATAAATCTAATGGCTATCACACTCACTGGTATCACTGACATCGTTTTTGAAATTGATAAACTATTGGCAGTTTGCTTTCGCAACAAATGAAAATTACTCTTTCTTGAATCAAGAGTTTTACAAGTAACAGTATTTCAAAAATTTGAACTGTTTTGTTCAGGAATACTATTTATTCTAATTTGTCATGTAATGATACTGAGCTTATTTGGAAATCCAATCAAAAGTATTAAATCTTTTAAAATATATATATATGAATACTTCGATTACAAAAAAGAAGACAGATTGCTTCCTTCAATCATGAGCGACTAGAGGTGAAGAGCTACATGGAGAGTTGAATGTTTATGTTTTGGCGCTTGAAGTGCTGATTATCAAAACTTCACAGCCAGCCTCGCTTTCCTTTAGTGATAACCACGTGTGATTTGGGGAGAATTCGAACATAGCCTTCTTTCGATCATTCCTGATATTATTTTAGTAAATGTCTAAGTGTGCAATGTTTTCTTTGCCCCTAAGCTAAAATATTTGTCAGTATGAAAAGATATTTTTCCCTTCCATCTGCTCACACAACAATGTTAACTTTGTTCAACGGATACCATTTAGCAATGCATTAAAGGTTACTACACCAAAGTTTTGAATCTTTGACATGTTCTCAATCGACTTATTTTGATAATATTTGGTATCAGTATAAAGACCTACCCCCGATCCTTTCCTTTTCTTTCTTTTTTCACTCAAAGTTGGCAGGAGAAACATTTTTTTGAAACTGAATCCTTTGTTGCTGTCTTTTCTAGCCAGCACATTGGCGACAGCGAACTCAATTAGAGCTGCAAACACGAAAACTAAACACGAGGACATCCAGATGTCAATGGCTTTAGTATATGAGACACGGGGAAGGGTTGCATTGACTGTAGAACTCTGCTGTGTCAACGTCAGAACTGTCAACACACCCAAGGAAATTCGCCCGGGCACGGCATTCACATTAAGCCAAAACGAGATCCAGGACAACATGACGATAAGCATGCTGGGAATGTACATTTGAACCAGATAGTATCCTATGTCTCTCACTAGGTGAAACTCAGCTTGAAGGAGGCTATGATTTCCTGAAAAGAATCATGATTGAATTTTGTTCATTTTAATCGAATGAAATGTATATTATTTTTAAGCAATTTGTGTCACTTATTCCATGTGGAGTCTTAGACAAGACAATGTGTACTAAGATGTTTCGAGGTAGTACGGTTTTGAAAGAAAATAATTTATAGAAAGTTTTTATTTTTGAATACCATGGAAAGATCAAAAACCATCATCAAACAACCGTCATATGGAAAACCGATAAATAGAACTACATGTATACACCTATATATAACCTACTTGTGCATCAAGTTATATTGAAATGGGACCATTGTAGCGTTTTGAACTCTTAGTTCACAAGTACTTGTCTACAATACATTATTCTTAATTTTAATCTGTAGAGCTCGCTTTGTATAAATACTGTTATAATACTTATGATCAAGTTATAATTTCGTTACCTGCCCCTCTACGTTCGTTAAGAGTTTTGAGTGTGTGCTTTTCCACGACCCGGAACTGATTCATTTCTATGTTGTCACTGATCTCCACCGGAATCTCGGTCCTCTGGGTCACGTTAACCAGTCCGGGATGGCTCTCATTTCCGGACGTCTCCATCCCCGCCCACTCCAGGATGATGTTATCTTCGTTGTAGCTGACTATGGACAAAATATGTTTGTTTTTTATTGAAAAAATTTAATAAATGGTGTTGTATCTTTGTTGAATTTTGAGAAAAATGTGAACTTTTTGATGAATGCTATTTTGTTATTAAATAAATACATACAACTCTCCATTTCTATCCTGCAGACTTGTTTGTCGAAGGGATAGTTCCTTAGATCCATTGGACAACTAAGTGTTAATGACAGTCTGAAGCGAAATCAAAGTGGAACATAAACAAGTACGTAATTGTAAATATTTGTCAGTCTTTCCATCCCTAAAATGGGCAAAATGATACGAAATTTTATTCTTAGAAAAAAGGTTGAAAATTATATAAAGATTCTGTAAAAATCATTACAGTCCAAGTTCAAACGCTGAAATTAGGTGATTTTTATATGTACATGGGTAGGATTGGGTGTGATCTTTTCGCGGATGATTGAAAAGAGAATTCGCGCGCGCTTTGCCACCTGTTGAACGCTTACAGGACATGATCAATGAACGCAATGTAAAGTAAAACGCATATAAGAAATTCTAGAGGCATCGAGCGCAGAGGCTTATTCCCTAATTAATGGAAACTTTTTGTTTTACCACAGACCCGTCAAAATTGTTGTCCTGGAAGGTTTATTGTTTATCTCTTGTCGATCACAACAGTGAACTACCAAATTAAATAGATCAAAAATAGAACTGCATCAGGCCGCTTGTCAAAACGGAACATTTTCTAAATACCATGTAAATATAACAAGATTTGCCAAGTCACCTTTCATTCCCCTATGATCGTTCCTAATCATCCCACATTTCAAACAAGAAGATCGAAATGTCAGAAGCTACATACTGAAATGCCTTGCACTACTGGTGCATATTTGTCCCATTTCCTTAGAAAACGTTTTACCGAATCTATTGGAAGGTTTACCAAAGCATTTCTATTCAAAGTTCATAGTCAAAAAGATGAACATTTTATTTTTCTAGGAACATGTATTATCAGATTTATCATATTGTGCAACACTGTCTTTCAAGAAATGTCGTCAAAATTGTATATTTTCTGTAATTTTATTTCTAATATGTATATTTATTTGTATTTGTTCACTCATCCATGACACCTGATCCCATCTCTGATTTTTTGGAGGTCCGTTTTGCTCTGCTCCAATTGTGTATTGTTTAATGGACTTTTGAGTTTAGATACTGTTCCTTATCTCCATGTACATGTATTTTATGTTTTGTATCTATTTAAAATACTACTTGTTCTTATTTCAGATCTTCAAAGTTTTAAGTCATTTTGTTGTTGAAGAACTTTGAGGTATGTACATGTAGCATGGGTTATGACTTATCTCGTAAAATTTCATTCTTTAGAAGGAAAAACTTACTTCAAATTTATATGAAACTTTGTACCTGACAGTATAAGAGACTTTTCCGCCGCTATACACTCGTAACATTTTATTTGGCATGAATACTTGGTGAATAAAAGCCTTTTTCTCGTTAGGAAAAAACAAGTCCGGGGTCCATATGTTGTTCAGCCTCTTTGAGTCAAATTCTAAAACCTCATCACCGAAAGTCCAAACCGTAAATCTGGCATCCAGCCAACTCAAGTGTAGCATTATACTCACAGTAAAGTCCTACACAAAAATATAATATGTAGCATTATTCTCATAGTATAGTCAGGCAAGAAAATGAAACATACAGCAGCATTTTCAAAGTATAGCCTGACAGGAAAATAAAGTATACAGCTGCATTTTAAAAATCTTAACAGTGAAATGAAATAAGTGTCGATTAGAGGGAAAATTCACAGATCTATCAGCAAAAGATGAGCCATATCTAATTAGAAATCAATTAATTATATCATCAAAATATTATCGAGATACAGCGAGATTATTATAGTTAGTTTCAAATTTTCTTTCTACTAAAACTTTAATGTAAGATATAAACAAAATTAATTTTGCTGAATTACAGGTATAATGTAAAAACTAGGTAACCATTCTTTATTACAACTACGTATTACTTCAATTGATAAAAGAAATACAATAATACCGTTTCCATAAAGCGATTTACATACCATATCTACTTCATTAATGGAATCGAAACTGTCGATGGCAAGCTGGCATTCTACTTTTGTTGCAAAGTCTAAAAAAATAAGAATTGACGATCATAAATTCAAAATATAATTTACCCAAAACCCAAGTAAGAGGAAAACACAAAAGAAATGGCAGACACATTTAAAGATAAGAAAACGCACAATGCAAACTTTTATTAATAATGTTAAGAAAAAATTATAACGAAGCATTTTTCGCTCTGGTAGTTCTTGATGCCACTTCTGGGTAGAGAAAATCATTTGACTGTTCAGAAACGCATGCATCTGTACCAATAATCCTTTGCAAAGCATATCACTGACAAACTACGAGAAACAATGAAAGTTTTAAAAAAGCAACAACAAATTTTGCTTTACTTAAAACTTCAGATAGATATTCAAAAATACCAGTTTCTGTGAATTTATTTTTACCTCATTGTATCAAAAGTTTTATGATACAATTTAGTAAAAGGTTGTTACAAAAACAAGTGCAATTGCAAGTATCGTTTGACGGCACGTGAAGTTATTCTCGTGCGGTTTGTCTGAATGATTGATTGCAAGTAGTTTTACGTCCCTTTCGAAAATTTTTTCACTCGTATAGAAACTTCACTATATACATGTACCGGTGAAGTGTTTCAAATGTAGACATATAGGGCACTCAGGGCAATTGAGCAGTGAGGGCCATCGTGCCAAGTGCCAACGCCTTCCATGAGATGTATTGGACTTCAGTTTTTAAGGTGTAATCCTGAAGACGCTAATTGACTTTCCTTGCTATGCCGGTTGCTTGACTAAAGGACAGTTACTAACTACCTGTGTATACATCTTCGGATACAGTAATTTCAATTACATGGACTAGTCTAAAGACTCGATCGATTTAACATGCAAGTGTGCAATTATTTTTCATCATAACAAGCTAGTTAACTTAGAAATGACACTGAAATACCATTTTTAACATATCGCTGTGTTTTTCTTGTACACAAGCAACTTCGGTGTTTTCTGTCTCAAATTGAAATCAACTCCCTTTTTCTCCTGGGGTATGTTATTTGACAAGCAATTAACGCTCAGGAGTGACGAGGTTGCGGGTGGATAACAAAATACTCGCGCTGGGATCAGTCCCCCAATGATTGCTATTGAACGCGAGATTTCCATCAATTATTACATACAATTATTAATCACTTTAAGTCCAGTGGGATCTGACTGACCGTAGGAGAATGGTATACACTATAAACGTGACTCAACTTGCGGTAAATTGCGAGATATTGGTTTTGGGGTCAACAGAAAGTTCCGTATTACATGCTCTATTTCAAAGCTTGGCTAGATACTATTTCAAACAATAAAACAGCCTAAACATTTTTTTTGAACGATTAAAAGCATAAACTGACGTCATTCTAGATTATCTAGAAGATAATTCTAAACTAGCTGAGTCAGCAAATGGATGCAGAACCTACTGCTTTTTTACAATATCTTTATCAATGTTGGTCTTGTTTTGTATATATCCTTCGAAATCTGAGTTACTTCTTGTGTTAGTGAGTATATACAAAAAAGAATCTCTTTATCCGATGAGAAATTGCTAGTCGGAGACCCTTTCATTAAAACAGCATTAGTGATATAAATTTTTGTGAGTAGTAAAACTCTTGAAGTTTGACGTCAGACGTAATGTAATCAGATAAAGCGGAACACGGCTTGTTGACCATAAAATATTTAATTCCGAATATTTACATGTACAAACTAACTTATCCGCTACAATGTATCCTGACGAACAGGAAAGAGCAAAGAGCAAAGAGGTTTTTTATGTCCCCGCATTTGAAAATTTTGAGAAAATATTGTTTGCTCTCTCTCCATTCACTTGCCTGTCTGTTTGTCTACAAAAGTTTAAATTTTGGCCTTTGATTGGTAAGACTTTTAACGGTCGGTGCTAGGGCTTTCATACTTCACATGTGCATTACTTTTGATAAGACCATCCATTCGGTACTGTCATGTAAATTTTGAATTTGTTGTAAATTTTGAATTTACCCTGTGGCAGTAAATACTAAATTTACAAATGACAACCGTTGTCAAAATTCAAAATTGACATGACAGTACCAATAATTTTTACCTTGTTGGTGTTTGAGTTTGACCCACTTTTGTAAACTTTAACATTGGTCATAAACTTTTAAACTCTTGGAAGTAGGGTTTGAAATTATATTTCACGTGTTTTTCTTGAGAACAGAAGTTTCTTTGAGTACTACCAATTCTGAGCTTTTGACATTGACCTTGGAATTTGACCCTCGTTTGCAAAACTTAAATCTTGACCATAACTTTTGAACAATCGGTTTGAGTTTCCTTACATCTTACGTTTTTTTTTCTTGTGACAAAACCTTGTGACAAGCGTATGAATATTTTCTATTTTAACCTTGGTATTAACTACTTTTGAAAACTGTTATTCTAGAATATATATAGGTGTTACAAATGTATAAGACTGGGAGCAAGGCTTTCATAGTTCATATGTGTATTTCATGTGACAACCTTTCCTTGGGTACCTTGGACTTGAAGTTTGGGCACATTTTAAAAAATAATTTCCTTAATCATAACATCTGAACAATGAATGCTTTAATTGTCTTTAAGCAAAAATCTGTTACAGTAGCTCACTCTATAGAGTGCTATATCATATCATTTGAACTATGGAAGTTTTAATTGTCTTCAAGTAAAAATCTGTTACAGTAGCTCAATCTATAGAGTGCTAGATCATAAAATTTGAACAATGGATGCTTTGATTTTCTTTAAGTAAAAATCTGTTATAGAAGCTCACTCTATAGAGTGCTAGATCATAACATTTAAACTATGGATGTTTTAATTGTCTTCAAGTAAAAATCTGGTACAGTAGCTCACTATATAGAGTGCTAGATCGAGCTTGAGTGAGTTTTTGTGGAAACATCTCAAATATATAGAACATTACAAACACGTTTAACATCATATATATATAATCCAAATGTCATTTGCAAGGAAATCAATTTTAAAAGCCAATAGTACTTTTAAATGGCTCAGACTTTTCCTTGTCAATTTTTACAACCCAAAGATTCTCTTAATCTCATCTGATTTCGGACGTGGAGCCAAAACACACTGTATCTAATTTGTTCCCTTTATTTGTTTAGCTTATTTACATAACACTCAGTGCACCAACAGTAAGCACATCTTAATGTTTTGGACATAATGTCTCTGACCAAATGATATATGCATAGTTATTCTGTGAAATGGGCTGTCTTGCATGAATCTAAATCCCCTGTATTAAGCTTATACAAGTCCCATTCCATTGCAATGATAAGTTTTGCTTTTTATTAATAGGACGAAGGTTACCAGAATTACTAAAATTCTGAAATTTTGAATTAATTCTCGATAAATTACTTAAGTATTTAATTCAATTCCATGCTTGTTATCTTTATAATACATTGTGTCATTGTTAATTAATATGAATTACAAGATCAAAATAATCGAAAAATAAAGAAAAAATAAATTCGAAAAATAAAATAAAATTATACAAAATTTTCCCCTTTAGATACCAAATAGAAATAGAGGAATATAATAGTCGTAGAAATGCATGTATATGTTAAGAATATTAAATATATAAGCTAATCATTAATCTTGCCATGATAACGTCAAACGTAAAATGAGGTTTACAGCAAGCCGGGAATGTACACATTTGTTATAATCATAAACATTTCGGTTAATCACACCATTCACGATATCAGAAATAAACATGTTTTCTAATGCATATATTCTGAGGAATCTGCGTCTGGCAACTCATCTACGATTTATATTTCGCTAGGTCACGGTGTCTACAATTTGACATCCGTAAAATACCACATATACCCTAAAAAGATTTACAGCGTTGCTTTCTTTATGTGCCAACAGACAAGAAAAAGTGCAGATAGTAATAATCCAAGACTTCCCTGTCCCTCTTACCGTCGTTAAAGTTTGGTGGTGAGTTACCAATCTTCTGTTCTATCAGCGCAATCTGCTCAGTTCTGAAAAATAGATACATATATGACTTAACATCCATTGAAAGAAAGAATTTATATGTTTTTTTTTTCCTTGATTTATCACTTACCGATGCATCTTTATTATAAATGATATCCCTGCTATCCCAAAAATTAAATAGCTGTGTAAAATTGCAACATGACAAAAATATTGAACATTGCCACTTATTTTTTTACCGAGAGACGTTTTTAATGTTAGTTAATGCTAGGAATATTCAACGAAGGTTTAAAGCAATATCAGCAGCATTTTTGAAAGATTGATTTTGCTGTTAAAATGTGTTATTTGTATATAACTTAAACCTTTACGATTAATTAGACTAAAGTGAAGCAGAAGAAAGACTTCTATATACAATCCAATACACAGTTTTGTGTAAGAAATTATTATATAGTCCAGGACGACAACAATGTACATTTGATTCAATCGAAGCTTATAAATATTTCTTCCATCGCAAATATGAAGAACAGAAGTTTATTTACGAGGGGTGATCAAAAAGTTCGCAAACTAATTGAATAACTTCCATACAAGAAACAATATTTGGTTTTAATGCTGATTATATTTTAAATTAATACTCCCCGATTTTAATGCAAATCAACCACCGTTCTGCGCATGCGCGAATCACGTGATATTTGCGGTCACGTGACCCCCTCTGTAGCGTTCTGTCACAAAAGTTAAAAGATTTTTCTGAGTTTTATATTTCTTTCCATGTGAGTTAATTTTTATGACAAGAACAGTTCATTTGTCAGAAATGGTCATATCTCGGCAACAGAATGGGTGGATAATAACATCCTTTCCAAAAATAAGCATGGCGACCATTAAAACACAAATCTTCTGTCTCAGGAGAGACCTTTATTCAAGGTGGATAGAGAATGGGTGCATCCTTTTTATCATATCTAATATGTTTAAAATCTAAAGTAAACGATATCTTAGGTATTTAATACTTATATCATTGTTCAAATATTCAACTATTTTTCAAAGTGCTAATTGGAGGTCTTTGATAGCAAATTGCTTAATTAAAAATACATATCTTTTCAAACTTGCTTTCAATGGGCAAGATGACAAGTATCATTTTTAACCATCAGCCTTCATTCACTAAAACGATTAATCCAATCATTAATTGAATTTATAGGAACTCTATTTATCTCAATAAACTGTGTACAAATTATTATATGATACTGTAGAGGGATTTCTAAGATAGTACAATAAATTGTACAGTCGTTTGTTGAACGAGTTCGATTGAGACAACCATTTTTCGTCACAAGTGACCTAAATAGTGACGTCATTTTCACATTGTGACGTCACGAACAAGGAGAGAAACTTTATTCAGCATATGCTATTTATAGACCTTGTGTATGGCAAAATTGGCTATGTGTGTACCGAATTTCATTCTAATCTGAATTGTGGTTTTGTAGATATAGAGATAGTTTGCGAACTTTTTGATCACCCCTCGTATGTTATTTTTTCTGTCATTGAAATAGTTATTTACAATTTTGCAACAAAAAATTCAGACATCAAAGTTGCTCACATTGCTTTAAATAATTATTTGTAGAACAAAAAATAGAATAAATTTATAGATCATTCATTTAACATGCCAAAAGTATGGGAAAATCAAGAAAGATATACTTGTTTCTAACCTGAATTTTGACAAAAAGTTACAATATTTTTGATACATACTAATTTTTTTGATAGAATACGATACTTCTACAAAGAATTATAGCTCTCATTCATAAAAGCTTTCTGTAAGTAAATATTATGTTAATTGTTTATTTTAATCCTTAAATTTTATATTTTATTAGTGCAAAAGTTCACAAAATAATATACGTGCATTATTTAGTAATAGGAAATATTATTATACAAATATGGACTCAATGTAGGGCAATATGCATTTATAATGACCCAGGATGACTGAGATATTGACTGAAGATACATGTAGTATATTGACCGAGGGCGCTAGCCCGAGGTCGATATACTTCATGTATCTGAGGTATATCTTTTTGGGTATTATAAATGCATATGACTGTGCATTGAGTCCATATTTATTATATTATATAAATAATAATTTATCAAATTTATTAGTGCAATGTATATCATCCTATTATTTACAGAGATAGTATTAACCATAAATAAGTTGAATGTAAATGTTTCAGAATTCATTGAATATTACTGAGAGGAAATTGTTTCGGCAATCAATTTCCCATATCATAATAATGACGCAATATATCTATCTCCGAATAACACAGAGTACCCCCTCCCCCATGTGAGAATCACTCTCGTTTACACTTGCAGACGAAATGCACTGACAAAATAAAAATACCTAAGTTTTCTAAGAATTGATACAATCTTACATGGCATGCTTGTCTATATTTTCTTTAGTCTCCGTAATCGCGTAAACAGCGTCAAAACTCTGCTCGCCGAGTGGAAAGGTCGATCTCAACCATGAAATGGTATGTGCTAATTATTCCCGAAAAAATATTCACAAATATCCTAGTAATTGTTTTGTATTATCAGCCTCAGAGTTCTTCACTATATGTTTTAAATTTTCCTCACCTACAACTTGCGAACTTCCATTTTTGTCTAAAGTGAAAGTGAAAACGAGGCAGCTCGTGCGAGTCATTATTCGCTTTCAGTGGTCGTTATTAAAAAATAAGTACTTCGTATTGACCAATCAGATTACCGGATTTCACAAAGTTATATAATATAAGATAAGATTTTTTGCATTGTAGTGATGACGTTTTATGAAATATTATATATTGAGTTTCAGTAATTTTATTAATGCATGGTTAAAGATTATTATTTACTTGTAGATGAAAAAAGACGGGCTTTGATTTGCATACTGACTCTTTCCTTTTTTTTTTTTTTTGATTTTGAGATATGCTAAATGAGCAATATCTATGCAACAAATTATCAAATATTCAAATATTTGTGCCTATTTTCAAATATTTGTACCTATTTTCACATTATTTGACCTACCTTCAAGAATAAAAAAAATAGTTACAACAAAAATAAAGGAACTTGTAGACCTAAATGGATGCGCAAAATATATGAGAATAACTAGAAATTCTTGTTGCTACAGCAACAAAGAAGGTCTTCCGTTCTCCTCTATTTATCTACATGAATGAGCTTTTATCTATGTTAAAAAGGCATATAATATTTTTAATGATTTCAGGAAAACAAACAGCCGGAGGTGTATCTTACCAAGATTCTTTACTTTACTTTAGACAATTATAGTCTTAATAACATTTACAAAAATCATTTTCAATTTTTATCACTTCCTGTGATGACCGGAAGTGACGGCGTACGCATTTTACCCTATGTTTTTTGCCCAATCTGCATGTTGTTTTATTCATATAAATTTAAAGTCTTGATCTGTTACAGTTTAAGAAATCTCGTAATATTATCTTCTCATTTTGAGGACAAAAAATCACGTGACTGGAAGTAAATTTTTGAAAAGATATTTGAGGTTACTCTAGATATTTCAGTCTAAATAACATGTCCTAAAATCATTTCTAATGCTCTTCTGATCAAAAATATTTATGGGATAGTATAATACTTAATTTATGCAGTTTTTCTTTCATAACCGGAAGTTGTCCATTTTGTTTCCAGTTTGACATATTTAAAACTACAAAAAAGATGCTATAATGTATTACTAAGAAAGATTCCATAAGAAAAGTTTTTATTCATTTGTTCACTTCCTGTGACAACCGGAAGTGACGGTGGACAATCTTTTCCTGACTTGTTTTGCCTACTTATCAAGATCTACCACTTGTAAAAGTTTGGTGTCTTAATCTCTTACCCTTTACGAGATCTAGTTATGATAACTTCTCATTTTAAGGACAGGAAATCACGCAACCGGAAGTGAATTTTATAAAGATATTTGGCGTTACTGAAGACAGTTACAGTCTTAATAACATATCCAAAATCATTACAAATTCTTCATCTATAAAAAATATTTAAAGGAAAGAAAAATACTCAAATTATGTAGCTTTTCTCTTATAACCGGAAGTTGTCTTCTTTGTTTCCGGTGTAACTGACTTATTTCAAAACTTCAAATAAGATGCTATTATGTGATAAAAAAAGTTTCCATAAGGGAAAGTTGAATTTTAAACTTCTTTGATCACTTTCTTGCACGACCGGAAGTGACGATTAGACGATCTTATCCCCCATGGAATTGCTTACTCATCAGGATATACCACTTGTACACTGTAAAAGTTTGGTGTCTTAATCTCTTACCGTTTACGAGATCTAGCTATAACTTCTCATTTTGAGGACAGGAAATCACCAGAAGTGAATTTAAAAAATAAAAGTTGATGTTACTGTAGACATTTGGAGTCTGAATAACATATTTAAAAAACAGTTGCAAACACATTATCTATAAAAATATATATTGGAAAGAAAATACTCAAATTATTTAGATTTTCTCTTATAACCGGAAGTTGTCGTTTTTGTTTCCGGTGGAGCTGATATATTTTGAAACTACAAATAAGGCGCTATAATGTGATGCAATAAACGTTCCATAAAAGAAAAGTTGAAATTTCCGATTTTTTGACCACTTCCTGTGACGACCGGAAGTGACGACGGACAACCTAAACCTATATAATTTGGCCTTCTTGTCAAGATCTACCACTCCTATAAGTTTTGTCAATATCTCTTACCGTTTCCGAGATATAGCTATAAGAACTATTCATTTTGAGGACAGGAAATCACGCGACAGGAAGTGAATTTTCCAAAGATATTTGAGGTTACTGTAGTCATTTGCAGTCTTAATAACATATCTAAAAATCATTTCAAAAACTTTATCTATAAAAAATATTTATGGGAAAGAAAAATACTGAAAATATGCAGTTTTTCTCTTAAAACCGGAAGTTGTCGTTTTTGTTTCCGGTGAGACTGACATATTTCGAAACTACAAGTAAGATGCTATAATCTGATGCAAGAAAACTTTCAAAAAAGAAAAGTTGAAATTTTCGATATTTAGGAACACTTCCTGTGACGACCGGAAGTGACGGC